AAACCTGGCTAAAACAGAGGGGGGCTTCCACCTTGTTCAAACCACTGTTAATGCCAGAAGCAAGAATATCCATCTCAATAAACCAGTTTTGAGGCTGGTCTCAAAATGAAGGACTACCACGCTGATGACACAGGGCACCTGAGGCTTCTTTCTGGCAGCACAGAAAAGTACCTGAAAAGGTCAAGAAATTGATTGAAAAGTACTGTAGACAGGAATAACTTATCGTGTTTGTCCAGATTTGTTGCCATATAATAATAAAAACAGTCAGGAAAAGATTATGTATTTTCTGAGCATTTTTTTGGGAGGAGAGTATTTTTAGTAAGAGTTTTATAAAAATCTCAGAGCAGAAACTTATGTTTTCTTGCAATAACAGATATAAATGTATTTGTCTTTGAACTTGCACTTCTCCAAGTAGTGATCACAATATCTGACATGCTGAGCTGTCAGATTTCTGCAACCAGTTCTTTAGGATTCTTCATGAGTATCTGGAAAGATAGATGTATATGCATGCAGCTTTCAAATTTCCAAGAACCCACCTTTGCTCAAATTGTTACTTAGACAAGATCGGTCTAACAAGAGTCTGAGAATTAAATTAGGAAGTAAAAATTAGGCCTCGGATTCATAACGCAGATTCATACATAGCTGATGTTTCTCCTCTTTTTTTGGGAAACATCTTCCTGTCTTCTCCCCATTTCAAACACATCTGGTACCTGGGGTGCAAGAACCCTGAAGTGCTGAAGGCTGAAGGCTGCTATTAGAAGCCAGAGCTGTCACCTGTTGTCATTAGAGGCTTCTGGGCATTATTTGCCTACTTAAAGACGCTGTGCCATAGACACAATCTGTCAGAGATTGCACTCGGGTAGATGAGAAAAGAAAGTGTAAAGACACTAACAAACAGATAAGATTAAGGTTTGTTCAGGGGTTCAGTCTTCTTTCTTTTTTCCCTGCTTGTTTTTTTCTTCCTCCCACATAAATCCCCCTGAATGAATTTGTTGGTCTACATGGCCTTATTTTGGAATCAAGCTGCAGTGAAAGCAGAGCTGCAGTG